AAGATTTTTAATTACTTATCATTTTAAGGAGAAAGATAAAGAAAACTACTCAGAATCCATGGAGAAAATAAAACCATACTTTAGTTTAAAAGTAGAAATCATTGTAAAACCAACAAGAAGTCTCGATTAAAACTAAAAGTAGTTTAATAAAAAAGATAATAACTTATCTCAAATCTTCCACCAAATTCTTGAAGTTCCTTTGAATCTCTTCTCTTTTACAACACTCTTGACTCTCACAATAAAACTAAAAACAAAAAGGATAAAGTAAATTTTTTGTGCCTGAAAATCTCTTCAAAACTCTCTCAAAAACTTCCCCTTTCCAACATTTGGCAAAACTTTCAAGCACACTTCAAAAAGTCTCAACTTCCTTCTTTAATAAATCTCCAAGAAATGCCTTGATAACTCTTGAAATGTCTTGATAACTCTTCAAAATGTGTGCCAATTCGATGTATTCTTCAAAGGATGTCTTCTTTCATAAGTCATTTTATCATAATTTTGTTTCTAGTGGTCATAACCACCCTCTTTAGCCAATAGGCGTCTCAAATGTCCCTTCAAAATTTGGCAAAATGAAGTAAACCGTCACATAACTGCCTCTAGCACTTAAGCGTGGGGCCTTTGGCGCTTAGGCACGACCTTCTCTGTTTCATCGGTGCTTAAGTGTTGGATTTGGTGCTTAGGCGCCAAAACACATTAGCACAATTTTCACATTTTTGCTCCAAATTTGATCTTTTTTCACTCCTTTTAGCATTTTTCACCGTTTTATTTGTACTTGAAAGAAAAACACACAAATACCTTTCATTAAAGCGCAATATCTCAAACTATAAAAATGTGTCTAAAAATACTATATATTTTAGGTGAATCATTCTCTTCTTCTTAGTTCCCCGAGCTCCTCACAGCGAAACCAGGAGGCTCTTGCTAGCTATGTAGTTGCAATGAGCGAAGAGATCGGCCAGTTGCGCGAGCATATGCTAGAAGGCTAACATAAAGTCGAAGACTCCATAACGCGAATGGTGGATACCTTAGCAGATAGTCAGTGCAAGTAGAAGATAATATTTGTGCATGAGGAGGAGGAGGCGGATGGAGATTATTAATTTTTTTATGTTTTCTTTTATTTGTAAGCATTATGTTGAGCATTTGTTGTGAAATTTTTTAGATTAACTTTATTATTCTTATTTGGTACAATTTGTGATAGTAATTTCTTTTTATTTATGAAATTGTTTAGAGATTTGATCTGTAATATGGAAATTCTTAATGTGGTATGTAATGTGGAATGTATTTTTGTGCACGCTGTGAAAATGTAAATGGTTTTCTATTTTTTTTTTGTGTAACAAGTTTGCGTTGGATTTGCGACTGTTTTCGGATGCAAAGTGACGCTACGTAGACAATTAGATTTCGTCGTTTTACAGTATTTCTTGATGAAAATTAGACAGTAATAAGACACTAAAATTTATTTTCTGATAATTTTCAGAGGTAAATTTCGACACAAATTTCCTATAAACAAATTCAGCTGAACGAAGACGCAAAAACCAATGCAAATTATCTGCGTCAGAATTGATTGGATGGAATAATATTACCGACCCCCAAATTAACATCAGCAAAAATTTGACGTAAATAAAGCGCAAATCTGACAATAAGCCTTATATATCGTCAGATTTGCATCTGATTTACGTCTGATATGCCTGATGTAAATATGTTAAATTTATGATATGCCTGATTTAAAGAATGGGGCAATCTAGTCCTTTTAATGCATGTGTGAATATGAAAAACTATTACAATACAATTTCAAAAGATTTTCTCAAAAAAAAAAATCTCTTAAACTAAAGCATGGGTTCGCAAATTCTATAGAGTTCTAGGGTTCCAACTAATTCCTTTTCCAATGACTCTAAGTATTAGTTTCCCTCATCCTTCTAGAAAATGGATCATCTAATGATCATCAAAGACTTATTAAATTTAGGTCCCATGATTCTACATCTTATTAGGAAAGGGATTATTCTATCTTCAATCTTCTATTAATGGTTAGTTGCTCCATTTCCCCCACCTTTTGAAAAGAGCAAGCCAAATATATTAAGATGCACATTAACTCAAAATCACTCATCTCCCACTCCTAGTACAGAACAAACTTAAACATCCTATGTCATTTATAAACATAGAATAGTTGCATTCCCCATTAACCTATGAGATGGACCATTTTGACCTATAGTTAAATATTACTATCAACTACCCTATTATTCTCAGAGAGGGACCATTTCTAAAACCATATAATATTTTCAATTAAAACTTCAACTTTCCTTTTAATGTCACCTTTAATGAAAGATAAATATGGATGTCTTCATTGGCTTTCATGTAACGCACCATTGTTGCCTTCAAATCATATCATCATTACCTCTAAACAATCAATTCAACCACTTCTAATGTTATCCATAACCTTCTTCTATTTGTTTATTGTTGTCTTAAGTTCATGTCATGTAAATCTCTAAAGTAGGACCAACATGAACATATGAAATGGCTTCTATGAACTGTTATATTACTTTATCCTTTTCTTTAGGTTTTGTCATCTTCGCCTATAAAAGATAATTGAACTAATCATTTCTAGTGAATGCAAACTCCATATTTTTATCATCTTTGTCCCAAGGGACAATCAATCTAGTCACCACAAATGACATTCAAATCTTTATATGTCTATCCATCATCAACATTAGTTCTAAAGGAGGACCAATTCAGTCACATATGATGGTCTCAATAACATTTTTAAATGAGTCAGCCATTGCCTCAAGTTATGTAATCTCTATTTCCAAGAGGTGTCTAATCCAATAATCTTTAGTGGCATTTATATCCTTGTGCAATTCCGTTATTTCCTTCAATATTTTCATTCCACCTTTAAGCGAGGAGTTATCTAACAACCTCTAATAGCCTTTTATTTCCATCATGAGTTGCTTAATCATCATCTTCATATCAAGCCAACTCTTGCTCAAGGGAAGGACCAATATGACATCCCTCAACAGACTTCCTTCCCCTCTCATATTACTTTTAATCGTCTCCAGCATCAAGAGAAATCACTATGCTAACATTTAGCAATCTCAGCCACTTTCTATGCTACATTTCTCGTCTCCTTCAAGTGATAGCATTTTCACATCTAAAAAAGAGATTCTCCTCATACCCAATCTCATTGTATCAACAATAATGATGATTTTTTACTACTTTGCACAGTCTCATTGAATTAACCCTTATGTAAGTTAGAGGACGGGTGATTCATTATAACTCTGTATATGACTCATGAAAATCTTATATTTAAGATGGCTATAGTTGTCTGTAAAAGCAATAGTTGAACAAGAATAATGAAAATAGTTTTATGAAAGCTGTGTGGGCATTAAAATGGCTTCTCTTTTGCAAATCTAATAACCTTCTTGCATCCACCACAATAACAAATTTGATTATAAAAAATAAAAGCTTTTGTAAAATAACAAACAAATGAGTAGTGAGACAACAATTTTGCAAATCTAATAACCTTCTTGCATCCACCACACTAACAAATTTGATTATAAAAAATAAAAGCTTTCGTAAAATAACAAACAAATGAGTAGTGAGACAACAATATAGCAACCGATTAAACAGCAAAATAAAAATTCTATCCCAAACCAACCCTTAATAATACCTTCCAATTTCTAATTGTCTGCATAAAAATTCATGTACCCCCATGTGTGCTTTAAAGAATTCCACATTTTAAACGTTTAATAGACACAAGACCATGGAGAATGCATCGCCAAAAGGCCATGGGGAATGCATCGTCAAAAGCCTGTATGGTTGCACGCTCTCATGTGCTAACCACTCTACACACTATAAGACAGATACATTTAGGCGGGATCCAACCCATGACTCCAGGAGATTCATATATATATATATATAACTGCTCTGCTTTGCGTCCAACCACTCTGATTAATGTAACAAAAAGCTATTCCCAAAACTGCATAAATGCTGTGAGAATGCTTCGTATAGGATTTTAATACCCGACAGCAAATTTACACCAACAGTTTCTCACATTGACATTGTGATGCTACATTTCTTTAAATTAACAGATGAAAAACAGAGCCAACGGAATAAAGTGAAAAACACATAACAACTAATCAATTACTTTTCCAATCTCCTATCAAGGCCCACAGTAATCAGACCAGCCAGATCAGCATTCATATTAATCATGACCTTTACCTTTATCAAAGTAATGATAAGATAACCGAAAAGATTAAGAAAAATAAATAAATTTAAAACAGTCCATTTTCTTCCTTTAGCCCCTGCATTCAAACAAAATCCAAAAGAAAAGCTGGTAATAACTTACAACTTTCCAAGCAAATGGGCTCATCATGATTGAGAAAAACAAAACCAGAAAACACAAAAGCATTCCAGAAAAGAAAAAGGCTTCATCGCATTCTATATCCAATCTATTTATGGCGCCATCAAACTAAAAGAGCTTTACTTCACTCAGAGGAAAACGGATGAGCTTTACTTCATTCAGGCAGTGAGGAACAGTGGTACTAATAAACATTCAGCACTTTAAGCGTTCAAAACAATGCATATAAAAAAGATATTTTTGTACAGCTGATTGACAAAACTAAATAACACTACAATCTTTATACAAGTTCACAATTTCTCTTTATGGTCTGCGCAAGGAAGAAGTAAATCACCTGTTTTAAAAAAAAATGTATCAGGAAATAAAAAGAGGTAATAAGAAACATGCATTTTCCAAAGAAAAATAATAATAATAGACTGATGAATAAAACATGTAATAGCTGCTTCTTAATAAAACATGAAATGACGAAAAAGCTTATCAAAACTCGTCAATATCATCATCACTTCGTATCTAAGTGTCATTTTTTAACAGCTTAACTAACAAGCCTTTCAACAGAACCAACATTCCAAAATGGGCCCATGAGCTCCATATCAGCAGGCATTAAGAAAAGGCACTAGTGATCAACAGATTACAAATGATCTCATAGTACAGAAAAAGCCAATTTTCATAAGGGCCCTTTTGACTGCTAGGAGCTAAAAACAAGTTCTAAAATATGATGAAATTTGCAAGGTCTATCACTTGGTTGGGCATGGTCAGAAATAAATATTTATTTTGAGCTTTTATAAATCTTTTCAAACCTATTAAAATTCAATAATTTCATTTCAATAAATGAGTATATTCTAAGATGAACTTTTTAATTCATCGGT